TTTTTTTTTCTGAAAATATGTTCAAACAGTTGTCTTTCAGAGGTCACATTTATCCTGTGCAACAATTTGCATCAAACACTCAGTAGCCATTATATCTCCTACCATTTGATTCAAATCATTTTGCATCTCAACTCAACCCTCGAGAGGTTTGCAGTCATAAAACATGATTTTATAGTTGCACTTTCAGTTATCCTCCAGAACAAAACTGAAGTTACCTGTTAAAGCTTTGCGAGTAGCTCCAGGTCAACAAACGAGCGCATCCTCCTTGATGCTGTTTGCCCTTAATGACACAAGAATACTTGGACGATGCCAAGCACAAGCAACCAAGTAACTCGCTCGGATATCCAGGAAATGACAAGCAACCAAGTAACTCGCTAGCAGCTTATGGGTTCCCAAAAGAGATTTACTTTTAGCAATCCAATCCTTCCCAAGAAGACATGCTTTGATGCTCGTGAGCATCTCATCATGGAAAGCAGACACAATGCCATAGATTGAGTTCCTTAGCACATCAGCCATGGCACAAGTTTTTGCAAGTAGAGGACCACCTTGCTTTTTTGCTGTCGCAACATCTCTTCTTCCTGTACTTGGAGTATTTCATTTAATAGTACCTGCCCCATCAAATGTTGGGGTTGCAAGCTTGTCTTCTTCCCCATGAAAACTTCAATAGCAAGCAGGCTGGAGATAAGTGTTGAGAGAATAGCAGCCTTGCTACCAGTGAGTTGTGCAACCCCAAATCTATCCTCCTCGTGTGACCATACAGTCAAGGAGGCAACTGCCTTGGCACACCATGCATACTTCTGTGGGAATTGAAAAACATTATTAAATTGTCTATGGATTCATCTTGGTAAAATAATTCAAATAAGGTGGCAAAAACCCTCAATCATAGGATGCTTGCAGTACAAGAGATTTCTTCTATCAATAGGCTATTCGAACAGATTTCTAGAAATCAATTTTTAACACTATTTGAAAGTAACAGATGCATTGCAACAGGTTCTGCTGCATCAGACAAGCTTGCTAACCTAGGTATAAACGAATGTTAAAAATCAGAGATATCATCTGCCAAACAGCATATTGAAATACTAGAACATTGACAATGTTACCAGTAATATGATTTGTTTACGAGAAAGCAAACGTAAAGTAACTACAACAAACATTTAAAAAACAGAATATTTAAATAAATAAAAAATCAGTGTCATCGGTGCCAACTTTCCATACCTGAAAGTTGTTTAGTGATTCATAATGTTTTGAATCCAGTTGAGAGTCAGTTGGCGACTGCAATTGATTGGATAATTGATGTGCCTTATCAACATAACAACCTTCCAAGACTTCACTCAAGTGAGATGTAAGCTGTTCCTGAGGCCTCAAGCACACAGCAACAACTTTTTTGTAGGTCTCACCAGTTTCTTCAAAAAATGCAGCTCGGCGCCAAGCATCTACATTTTCTCACAAACCATACAAAGATCAAGATATGCAAGATACTGCAGAAGAGAATCCGGAATGTTCTCCTCAAGGGCTGCAAGGAGAGGCTCACTGGGATTTGTCTCTGCTGCTGCAGAACCTTTCAGCGGTGCAAATAAGTACCTTTTTGTGTGTAGCACCATCATAGTAACAGAAAGATGTCAAAAGAAGTAGGGATTGGGATAAGATAGACAACTAAGTCTAATTATCTTCAAAAGTAAGAGGTAATGCCTGCACATAACCTATTTCAAAGTTATAAACCAAGCAACACAACGTAACACAAGCATATAGCCATTTGCAAAGTACTTTTCCTTGCAAGTAATGCAGCAGTGAAACAAATAATAAGATGACAAAGTCGTTCCATATGGTACCCTCTTGCAACAATATTATCAAAGAGTGGCAATCACTCCCGAACTAAAGGTTTGCTATTTTATGTTCTTTTTATATTTCTCTTAATGAAGTAAAATATCCAGAGGATGCATTTGAAGACAGACAGACAGACGCTTCAAAGCCTGCTCTTAAAACTCAAACCTGTACTGGCGTCATTGGAAACCCAGGACTTTTAGCACTACTATGCTCTTTTAACTTCCTCAAGAAAACATTATATATTATTAAAAAACTTGAATCAAGTGAAGATCTTTTATTAAGAACATTATTCCTATAATTTAATTCAAGCACGACAACTAAAAGACAGGCATTTGGTAAATTTTATCCATGAAAGCGTTGGCTAGTCCTCATTTAGAAAAAAAATTATTTATGCCTTTTCTACTGTTTTAACTTTCCAGGGAAGAAAAATGTGGTTGGACATTCAGTTAACTTGTCTCCTAGCAATAAGTATTGGACATTCTCTGTCACAAAAAAAAAAAAATGTCTCTTACTTCTTTTCTACTCTTTCCTTGTCCAGAATAGAAAAGAAATACCAACAGACAGCAGATGGTGTGTGTGTGTGTGTGTGTGTAAAGCGTGAAAGCCAAAGTTATGAAGCTTTTTGATTCATAGACTAATTGAAGTCGCGTTCCATGTAATGGTCTTTGATAAACACAAGCTACAGCAGAAGGCATAAAAAACAGTAAGGACATTTATGCTCACCTGTTGTAAATGGTGACTCAATTCCCAACAGAGAAACACAGAAAAGCTCCCAATATACAGAATGATCTGCTCAGTGATGAACTGCTCCATTGTCCCTCCACTTTTGAATTGATCTGGAAGAAACACTAGCAACGCAGCTGAGCATAAGTAAGCCACATTAGAAAGCTTTAAAGCTCGTTTAATTGCCAATGGAAGTCCCATCTTGAAGCTATAGAAAAGAGGACGCTGTCTACAAAGCAACAGAAAATCAGCAATCACAAATCCCGCAACTGAGAGCAAACACCAAACAAAATCTTATCCTCTGCATTCACGAATCCTATATGAGTCCTCAATCAAATAATCAGAAAACCAGATTCCAGTCTCAATAACATACTTGGACCACAATTGGAACTTATCATCAGGAAACACAACTTCTATCAACAAAAACTAAAACCTTACACTCACTAATCTTAAATACATCAATCCCATTTCAAAAGCCCATAATTCATTTTCAATAACAATCCAATTCAAACATCAAGAACACAGCTTTATCAGCAATCACTCACATCAACAACCAACCCAACATAAGAATCTGAAAAAAAAAAAAAAAAACGGAAAGTAACAAATGCCACACTTGCATTGATCTTCCACATTATCATGAACCCATTTTTCATTTTCAATAACAATGCAATTTTTTTTATCACCAATGAATTTTCTAGTAGTAAAGTTTTACAACGAGATCTATTTATATAGTAATATTATTTGATTATATGAATTAGCTGATTAGTTGACCTTGCTAGTCTGCTTTTAAAGGTATAATTGTTTTTTACCTTTTAATTTAAATAAGATCTGCACTGTTTAACATATAATCATTTGCTATATCGATGGAGAGTTCTTTTATATTTTCAATTGAAATTGAGTTGATTAAATTAATACCAATAAAAACATAAATATGATGCACAATCAAAGGATTTTTTTTTTTTAATATAGATTTAGACGGTGAAAGGGATCTTCTAAACGCATTTACAAATTCCAACCCAGATGAGAATATTAAAAATTAATTAATCTACATACCGTCTTGAACAACGATAAATACTCCTTATTCTTTTTAATAACATCGTGGTTGAGAAAGAGAGGGGGGTCTCTTTTATATTATCAATTTACTGATTTTTTTTTTTGTTGAAGACTTTCAATTTTATTTTTATATTTTTTTTTATTTTTGTGATGATAATAATGATTTTAATTTGATTTTTTTATTTTTCTGGCTCTTTTATCAAAATTTTATATTTTTTAATTATATTCTTCAAATTAAATTTATAATGTTTTTTCAACAATAATAATAATAATAATAATGCTAAACAATAGTAATAATATTAGTTATAAAAGTAGTAGAAATAATAAAATAATAAGAATAACAATAAAAAATTAATATATTTAAATAAAAAATTAATATATAGGAGAATTGATACTATTTAGATAATATTCAGAATATAATAACGTTTTTAAAATATATTTTACTTAAAAATATAAATAAATTAAAAATTTATTTTAATATTTTTTATGATTTTAATGAGTTGATGTTAAATATATAAAAAAATTAATATATTTTTTTTAAAAAAAACTTTTTAAAAGAATCCTGCATCACCTCCCTTTTGTTTTGAATTTAAAAATTAAAACACCTACTAACGAAAATCAAATTCTTGGGTCGAGCACCAGCTTTCTTTCCTCGGCTTTCCTGTTCAAGCTGCTGGATCGGGCTCCTCTCTGGCCATGAAAAAAAAAAATACTTATCATGTTTTATTAAAATTAGTTTTATTAACGAATTCTCGCAATTAATGATGGGACATTCATCTTAACTACAGTGCTAATCTCTTCATTCTGCCGTATCAATTATGAAGCATTTGTCTTGCCGATGAACCAAGTTCATACAACATTGTGCTCTGCATTCTGACATCTTCATCTTGTTTTTTTTTTTTTTTGCTAATATTTTTAAACTCAAAACTAGTAAGAAAACCAATTTCTCGACTAGTAGCCTGTTTGGTATTGTGTTTATTTAAAATAAAAAAATAAAAAATTTAATTTTTTTAGAGAATTTTTTAAAATATAAAGATAAATAAACTCGGGTTTTTAATTTCTCGAAACCTTTTTGCTGGCTCCAAAACCATAGGATTTGGGGTGGTTTGTTTCTTGATGCTGATCTGCTTCCCCTAGAATTCTCCACCGACGCCGCATGTGGTAGAAGGATAGAATTATGATTTATCGAGTTCCAAGTTTACAGCTAAAACTCTGAAATATTATGAGATTTAACAAGTCATTAAAGTTATTCTAAAAATAAAACACAGAGTTTCAAGAGCAAACTTATTTATAATAAATATTAGCAAGCTTAAAAGCTTCTCCGTTACATTTCGTTATCGTGAGTCTGTATCAAACTTAAAAGCTTCAAGAGCAAACATAACCAAACTTGACACAGCCTCATCAAGATCTGCCAAACTTATTTATAATAAATATTACCAAATCCTAGCACCAGAAGAAGAAAGCAATCATTCCTCAACAAGCAAAGGTCATGTTTTCTTCTTGTGGAAACGAGTCATCCTAAAGTACTTTAGAAAGGAAAGTGAAAGCTAGCAATAGCCAACAAGCTGATGGTGCTGTGGCCATTGAGAGAGGGATCTTAGCCTCCTGTTTTGGTTCCAGTTAAGGTCTAGCTAATTAATTAAACTCTTGCAAGCGCATCATCTTCTTGCTTTTCCATCCCAATTCCTTCGTGACTGTCATCAATGTTGATAGGCGTGTACCAGTTGGCACAGAACAAGTAAATCACAAAATCAAAGGCTGTTAAGACTGCAATCAGGAAGTAGAACCTGTCCATGTGGCCTGTGTTCAAGTCATCTGGAATCCATCCAGGCTTGTCACCTTTAGCTGTAATCTTCATCACCATGCTGACTAGCATGCTGCTGACATAGTTGCCAAGGGAGATTGAAGCCATGCAAAGTGAGCTTCCAAAACTTTTAATCCCGTCTGGTGCTTGCCCGTTAAAGAACTCCAACTGGCCTACATACATGAAAACCTCAGATGCACCGACAAGAACGTATTGTGGAATTTGCCAAAATATGCTTAGTGAGCTAACTTTTTTCCCTTCAGGAACATGCTTGAGCCTTTCAATCTCGGTAGCCCCTGCGGCGAACATTGCTAGCATCCCAATGATGAGTCCGATTCCCATTCTCTGAAGCTCAGTTAACCCCTTGGTATTACCACTTAACCTTCCAGCTAATGGCACGAGGATTTGGCGATAAATCCCAGTGCAAACAAGGACACTGCAGATATCAAAGGCAGACATGCTAGCTGCTGGCAGGTGAAACTTTCCAGCATAGGAGTTCATGACATCTCCTTGCTCAACAAAGAGGGAGGCCATTTGTGTGAAAACAACAGAGTAAATTATAGTGCATAGCCAAATAGGTAACATTTTAAGAACACATTTAGCTTCCTCTACTTGACTTATTGTGCAAAGCCTCCATGGATTCTTTTGTTGACTTAGATCATCCTCTGTTACTGTTGCTGCCTTGTCCAAAAACCTGAAAATTATTATAAAAGAAACATAATTAGTAATCATAAATCAATTACCATTCCCTTTCACGGGCATGCTCAAAGCTAAAAACTATGGCTATCAACCTTACACAAACCTTATTCCAATGTCGCTTTGCCTTGACAAAATGACCACTTCGTGGTCTGATCCAGAGGAAAAGTATGGATGCTAAAGAATTGGATGAAGATTTAAGGCTTTTATTAAGCTACAAAAACACTATAAGAATCATTGGCTTAAAGTAGGAATTCGGTACTTACTCAAAATCATCACTATGAAGAATCTTTCTGCTCCCTTTGATAGTAGATTCTGGTCCTTCCACTTCATAAAGTTCATCAGCTTTCGCCGGGATAACATCCCATTTCTTAACTGCAGCCACAAACACCTGAGCAACTCGCGGCAAAGGATTGCCGCAAGGTTTCACATACTGGTAACCAGGTGTCCCAAACAAGAATAATACCAAGGCTAAAACTGCAGAGCCTAATGACACCAGGAAACCTAGTGTCCATTTTCCATGATCCTCAAAATACACCAAAATAGTGTTTGAGAATAGAGATCCAAAGTTGAGTGCAAAATAGAAATAGCAAAAGTAAGCTGCCTTGTAATTTTTTTCTTTCGGTTTCGACTCGTCAAATTGGTCTGCTCCAAATGTGGCTAAAGAAGGTTGATGTCCACCATATCCAAAGGCAACTAAATATATAGCCAAGTAAAAAATAGCCACTCCCATCGACGATGTTGGCTCACAGGCTAATTCTCCATCACCACATCCATCTGGTTTGATCAAGAAATAACAAGATGATACCGATACTAGCGCCAACCCCTAATTAACATACAAAGTGGTTAGCAGATCGCATCAAAATTATAAAAATAGATTTAGATTTCAAATTCTACGTACCGAAACGAATATTAACTGAAAGACTGCACAGGTCAAGTATCTGCCCCAGTATGAATCACTGAGGAAAGCTCCAATGAGTGAGCACAGATAAACTGTGCCAGTCCACTTGCTGACACTATTGGCAGCATCAGCATTACTTTGACCAAGAACTCTTGTTACGAACAGAACCAAATTCACACCAACTCCAAAGAAAGCTAGTGTAGCCAGGCATTGATTTGCTGCAGCAGAACGAAGTAGAAAACAGAAAATAAGATTAATCACTTACATTTTTTACAAGCCATTTAAGAAGTTGCATTTTTTTTTTACGTTATCAATACCTAGCAAGATGCTTGCAGCTTTCCACCCTCCAGAGCTCTTCCAAATAATGGAACGCTTATTGCTACCAATCTCCTGTTCTTCCTCAGTTCTGATTCTGTTGACAGCTACATTTTCTCTAGAGATGACACTTTCTCCTGTCACCTGCTTACATTTAGAAAAATAAAAACAACAAATGTTAATGTTTTCATGAATCTAAGAACATAAATTCACGTTTATCTTGAGTATTTACTAATTCTCGAATTTGTTTTTACATAATCGGTGGAAGGGTCTGAATCCATAGCAGCAATAGAATATTCTCTCTGCAAAATAAGATCAGAAACTGGTTAGGGATGGAAGGAAGATATGGATTCATGAACAGAATTTGAAGGAAACAGGAAAGAGCACTTATATAATGTAATGGCACGCGACATAGGACGTCAAGACTTCATGCATGGCCATGTTTAACAAGAAGAAAATAAGAAATAAACAAAAAAAAAATTCAATATTCTTTTCCATCTTGCAGCATATAAGATTCGAACTCGGGACGAAGAAAATGCAGTACCAGTCCAGAATAATAGCAAGAGCGTAGTCCCCAGAAGAAAACTCACTAACAAAAAGAGAGGTGGAGGTTTAATTAATGCAAGAGAGGAAGATGGCTAAGAGCATGCTGCGAGAGAGTTTAATTTATAGGAAAACAATCGTGAGAAGAAGGGTGGACGGTGCAAGTCATTTTCAGCGCACTTTATTGTTGCCATTAAAGAAGAAAATATGGGTGGAAAATGGAACAGGGAAGAGAGGTCTCCTTAGAAGAGTGTGTGCCACAACCTTGGTCATGTCTTCCATGATCAGATCATAGCCAATGGGAGAATACTTTCATGTGAAAAGGATGGCATCTCACTCCTCACCAAGTCTTTAGTTTTCTTTGAAATTTGATAGTCTCTCCTCAATTTCACTTCTTCTCAGTGTTATCAAATCATAAATTCTAAATAACCCATCACCATGCGCATGAGCAACAGTCATGAACACTATATTTATTATTATTATTATTATTATTAATGTGGTTATTCAGATTAATTTATACATATATCAATTAATTTTATAAATTTTAAAGTTAATAATCATATAAATCTCTACCAATTCTAAAATTTATAAAATTAAAATTAATAATCTTTAAAAAATAAAACTTTACTCTAATTAATTAAATTACACTACTCATACTCATAATTGTTATAAACACTATATTTAATTTTGCTATAGTGAACCTAAATAGTGCAAATAATGTCACAACTTGGTTTTCATTTATGACGAATTATCACATTTATGAATTTATTTTAGTTTTTTGTGTCTAATAAAAATTTAAAAAAAATTGACAAAAAAGGTTGACAATAAGTTCTCTTAAACTTCAATATCTATCTCTTTAACATAAAGACAAACAACTTATTATTCATAGGTCAACTTTCAAGCAATTACTTACAGAAAAGTAGGTAAATATATATATTCAGCCACATTTTGAGAAAATGGACTGCAAGACAAAATTAGAATTGCTATCATCCATCAAATGTATAGCGTATAAGAACTAGAATAAATCAGCTTTATAAGCAACCCTATTTTAGTCTTGTTGTTAAGTGTTCTTATCAATAATCCAAAAAGGAAACAGCATAAGAAAAATCCTTTACACGCTGATCAATAATTACAGCTAGCATGCTACTTGCATTAGATTATTAAAAAAAAAACTAAAACAAATAGCCAATTTCAGTAAAAAATAAATAAATAATAACGTCAAAATCAGAATTTACAATTCAAGGAAAAATTGATGCGTAAATCATTTGCATACCCATGCTACTAAGTACGAGAGAATGTATGATTTCTCACCTTTCTTGTGATTTTAAGATTTTCTACTTAAGTGAAAGTTCGTTTACACATCAATTTCTTGATTTAATTGGATCATATATATTATATACTGAGTTTTTTTTTTTGAAGATGTATAAGAGCATCCATTAATTAATTAAATCAACTCCTAAATTAATACATATGTTAATTGATTGATTACCACACATTCATACAATTTACCTATAAAAGAAAAAAGTCTTAATTAAGGGGAGTCATGTATGCAGACCTCTAAGTGGATATGAATTGGATATAGTCACATCAAAAAAAAAAAAAAATTGTTGGATCATCTAGCATGGAGGTAGTAGACTCTATTGCAATATTCTAGAATTCTAGATTAATGCTATGACATGATCTTTGATATAACCTTCTAATTAAGCAATTAGATATTTAACTTCAATATATATATATATATATATA